GACTGGCCTGGCCATGACAGATCTTAGTAAACTATTATTATTATTATTTTTTTTTGCTGTTGGATGGAATGTCTTCATTAATTTTTTAAATGTTTAGGTATTTATTTTAATCCCGATTTATACTGATTGTTTATCCTTTGTTTTCAGTTTTTTAAATGTTTATTTTTGAGAGCGAGAGAGACAGAGTGTGAGCAGGGGAGGAGCAGAGAGAGAGAGGGAGACACAGAATCTGAAGCAGCTCCAGGCTCTGAGCTGTCAGCACAGAGCCCGATGCGGGGCTCGAACCCACGAACCGTGACCTGAGCGGAAGTCGGATGCTTAACCAACTGAGCCACCCAGGTGCCCCAAAATGTTTATTTTTGAGAGAAAGAGAGATAGAGCACCAGCAGGGGAGAGGCAGAGAGAGAGAGGGAGGCACAGAATCCAAAGCAGCTCCAGGCTCTGAGCTGTCAGCACAGAGCCTGACACGGGGCTCGAACTCGGGAACCTTCGTGAGATCATGACCTAGGCTGAAGTCAGACGCCCAACTGACAGAGCCACCCAGGTGCTCCAACCTGAACGTTTATCTACAAATAACCTGTCAACCAACCTTTCCCTCCCTGCACTTACCTTCCAGAGGGGGTTTATTTCCCCTCTCCCTTGAGTCTGAGCTGGCCCTGTGACTCACTCTGACCAACAAAAAGAGGGAGCAGAAGCGCCACCCTGAAGACAGACACTCTCTCATCCACTTCCTCTCGCTCTAGGAAGCCCCGACTATGTTTCTGTAGAGCGCGCACATGCTCAGAGTAGCTGGAGGCGGCTTGCCTTGAAACCAGACAGGGTCCATCTGAGAGGCTCCTGGGCCTGCCCCTGGGCTCTGTGCCTGGGCTGGCACTTTATTTATTTTAATTTTTATTTTTTAAAGAAGTCAGGTCTTTTATTTATTTATTTTTAATGTTTATTTATTTTTGAGAGAGAGAAAGAGAGAGCGTGAGCAGGGGAGGGGCAGAGAGAGGGAGACACAGAACCCGAAGCAGGCTCCAGATTCTGAGCTGTCAGTACAGAGCCCGACCTGGGGCTTGAACTCCCGAACTGTGAGGTCATGACCTGAGCTGAAGTTGGATGCTTAAACTGACTGAGCCACCCAGGTGCCCCTGGGCCAGCACTTTAAAGGCTGGCTCTGGAATCTGGGGAACCAGAAAGGCTCTCCTAACCGCAGTGCTATGATAAGCGTCTGGGAACCAAGTACTGGTAAGTGAATGTCCAGAGCCTCATTTTACTAATCTGTAAAATGGGGGTAATAATAGACCCTAACTCACAAATCCTGGTGAAGAGGCTGTGATTTAAGGAAAGTGGGTATTGGCGTAACAAGCCCCCAGCAGGTGAGCATTCTCTCTCCCAGCCCTTCTCTCTTTCAGTTTGGCCACAGCTCCCTCGTTGAACTTGGGCTTGTCACTAAGCCAGTCTGTGTTCTAGTTTCCCCACCTCAAACTGTTCAATAAATGGTTAACTGTCCCTGACAAAGGGATGAAAGAAGCCAGCAAAGCCTTAGACTCTCTGGGCCATGGAGTGATTCAGAGAAGACTTTCTGGCTCCCTTTGAGGCCAGGACTGGACAGGGTACCCGCAGAGGTCAGATTCTCGAATTCTCTCTCCCTTAAATTTTTTCTTCTTTTATTCAATAACCTCTCATGAAACACCTACTATATGCCCCAGATGTGCCAGGTGCTAGGGCACCTCGGTGGCTCGGTTGGGTAAACATCTGACTCCCGGTTTTGGGCTCAGGTCATGATCTCGAGGTTTGTAGGTTCGAGCCCCGCATTGAGCTCTGTGCTGACAGCACAGAGCCGGCTTGGGATTCTCTCCCTCTCTCTCTGCCCCTCCCTCCCTTGCTCTCTCTCTCTCAAATTAAATAAGCTTATGGGGCAGCTGTGCGGCTCAGTCAGTTAAGCGGCTGACTTCGGCTCAGGTCATGATCTCACAGTTTGTGAGTTGAGCCCCGTGTCAGTCTCTGTGCTGCGACCTCAGAGCCTGGATCCTGTCTTCGGATTCTGTGTCTCCCTCTCTCTCTGCCCCCCACTTGCTCCTGTTCTGTGTCTCTGTCTCTCTCTCTCAAATATAAATAAACATTAAGAAAATAAATAAATTTAAAAATTCTTTAAAAAATAATTAAAAAAGAAAATCATGGATAAAAAAACATCGAAAGTCTTACACAAAAATATTAAATTTCAATGGAACAAAAATCATTGATCACGTTTTGGGAAGAATACAATTATATATACATAAAATCTGCATTAGGTCTCTAGGGATGGATGAAATAAATTCCCCTTCTGTTCAGTTTGGGGGTCTGCAGAGGTTAGAGGTTTCTCCAACCATTTGCAGGAAAGTTTCCTAATATTTGGAAAGTAAAAAAAAAAAAACAAAAACCAAAAAACCCAAAAAACAACACACACACACACACACACACACACACACACACACACACACTAAGGAAATACATTGTTACTCATTGGTTCTGGCCAACTCTCCCCTGCTTTGCCCTGGGTGGTCCACTCCTTCCTGTCTTTCAGTTTTCTCACCGGGACAGTTGCTGTTTAGAGTAGCTTTGATGATATGAAAATGTCTCCTTGAATGTCCCCCCCTCTACACTGCAGACAGTCTCTTGAGGCTAAGTGACCTCCAGGAGCCTTGATCCAGCCCTCCTTTCGCTCTGCTCCCTCCTACCTCCCTCCCTCTGGTCTCTCTGGGTCCCTGGTTCTTCGAAAACTTGGCCAGGCACCTTCAGAGTCCTACTGAAAACTCAGGACCCAGCGCTGGCTGACAGCCTCAGTCCACAGGCAATAACCCCCCTACCTGCTCTGACATCTGAGCCTCCCTTTCCCCTAGGAAAGGCTCAAACCTCAAAGGAAGGGCTCCGCTGAATACAAACCTTTGCTCTGCCACCCGTGTTGTGCCATTTGTGCCCGTATCTGAGGTCACTTAACTTCTGACCTCAGTGGTTTTATCCATAAAGTGGAAATGATAATGACAGTCTCCCACGTATGAAGGAAGTTATCCCTCGTACAGTGCGTAACAGCGCGGCTGGCCCAGAAAGGGTGCTGGGTGAACGGGACCCAGTGTCAGCTGTTGCCACCCCCGGGGAAGTGCAGAAAGAAAAACGTTTCTTGAACAGGGCAAGCGATTTGGATGCAGCCCCATCTTTGCGTTTTGCAAGAGTGAAGCATCTGCTGCCTTTGAAGTCCCAGGAACGTAGCAGCTGTCCTTAACAGTCCCCAGAGGACGTCACTCCCGTACCAGACCTGCCAGAACAGAGCACCTGTTGGTTGACTTGGTTTTCACCCCCTCTGTGGTCTTTAATATTTCCTCCTCTGTCTTCTCGGAGCACTCAGGGCTTGAAGCTTTTCATCTTCTGTTCTCTCTTGTTAGATGATTAAAAAAGATAAACCCCCCTGATTCATGGGGGGTCTCTACCAACCAGCCTGTAAGAGCCACACATTCCTCCATGCAACAAACCAACCAGCATTTATATAGCGCCTACTGTGTGCCCGGCCCCGTGCTCCTTGGTAAGCCCTAACAGTAGTTAGGCTGCTGTAGGCTGACTTTCCTGTCCGGTCTTGCGGTGTGGCCTTGGGCAAGTTACTTAACCTCTCAGAGTCTCCATTTTTCACCAGTGAATTGGGAAAATAACATCTGCCCCAGGGTTGGGATTAAGAGACAATCCGCTCCAAACTGCTGCACACAGGACATGGCCTGTGGCTGCGGTTTAAGGTGTAGGTAGGTGATCAAGGGCCAGAGACACGGGCAGATGATTTGGCTTCCAGGTCCCAGCTCCATTTCTTTTTGTTTGCTTTTGCAAATGGTTTGTTTTTCTAATTGCCAACGTATTGAGACTAAAAAGCGAGAATTCTCCTTGGCTCTCCAGACCTCAGACTGCAGAGAGAACCGAGAGAGGAGTGCATTCTCCCACACCTTTTGTTTTGCATTGACGCAACTACACAAAACACCGAAGACGATTGGTTTATTATTTTTCATTTTCCGAAAACGGGTAAAGTACCTATAGCGTTCAACAACCTTGCTTTTGAATTAACAATGTATTGTTTCTGTTTCCTCTCCGTGTATATATCATATAACAGAACCCGGGCTCACGGTCGGTCAGGAGGCGCTGCAGTTCTGAGAGGGGAGGGGCGGGGAGCCTGGCTCAAGCCCCCTCCCTTCTCAGCCCCCCTTCGGTCTGGGCCTCACCACCTCAGGCCCTTTCCCTCTCTAGCCCAGCCCCCCCTCTTCCGGACCACTCAGCCCCGCCCCCCTCCCCCGGCTCGCCCCAACCTCCTCCCCAGGACCGCCTCCCCTTCCCCTTCCCCGTCTCTCCCCGGACCCCTTCTCTGGGCCTCAGTGCCAAGTCCACCGGCTTCCCAGACCGCCTTCTCCCAGCTTCCTCCCCTGGTCTCCCCAGCTCCAATTCCGGCCCTTTTCCTTCCCCCTTAGCCCCCTCCGGCTCCCCGGGACCGCAGCCCCCCAGCCCCCCCTTCTCTCGTACCCGTTCCCGTCCGCCTCCCCGGGACCCCAGCGCCCCCTTCTCCCGTGCCCCTCCCCCTCCGTCTCCCCCGAACCCCGAACCCCGTGCCCCTCCCCTCCGCAGCCCGGCCCCGCCGCCTCCCCGGGGCCCCACCCCCGCCTTCTCCCGCGCCCCTCCCCTCCCGGGGCCCCCAGCCCCCCCTCCGGGCCGGCGGCGCAGCAGGGGGCGCTGCGCGGGCCCAGGCGCGGCTGCGGGCGGGCGGCGGCGGCGGCGGCGGGAGGAGGAGGCCGGAGGAGGCGGGGGCGGCGGCAGGCGGGGGGCGGGGAGCCGAGCGCGAGAGGGAGGCGAGCGGCGAGAGACACAGGCTCCGAGGCTCCAGCGAGCGAGTGAGCGAGCGACGAGCGAGCCCGGGAGGGAGGGAGGGAGCGAGGGAGCGAGCAGCCGCGCCGCCGCCTCGCAATCCGCCGCCATCCCGCCGCCTCCGCGCCCGACCGCCGCCCGACCGCCATCGCCCGGCCCAGTCGCGCCCGCGGAACCAGACCAGGTGGGCCGGGGCGGCGGGGCGGCGGCGCGGGGCGGGGGCCGGGGGCCGGGGCGGCGGTCGGGCGCTAAGATGGAGGCGGCGCGGCCCGGCCGGGCTTTGTTTCGGCGGCGGCCGACGGGCCGACTGACAGCGGCGAGCCCGGGCCCCGCCGCCCGCCGGCCGCGAGCGCGCTGCTGCCGGGGCCCCGCCGGCCGGGACGAGGGCCGCAGGCCCGGGCGGGGCGGCCTGGGGGCGGCCGGGCCCGGGCTCGCCATTGTTGTGAGGCGCCGCGCGGCCTGGGCGGGCGGCGGGGTCGGGGCCGGCGGGGCGGGGGGTCGCCGCGCCTTGGGGCCGCCGCCCGCCCGCCCGGGGTCGGCGGCCCGCAGCGCCCCGCTGGCCTGGAAGTAGCCGGGGCGGCTTTCCTGCGCCCCCCACGCCCCCCCGCCCCGTCCCCGGGCGGGCCTGCAGAGGCCCCACCCCGCCCGGGAGTCCCGGGGTCGGGGCGTCCCCCCTTTCCCCCATTCCCGCGCCGGAGGTCGGGGGGGGGGCGCAACGGGGGGCGCGGCGGCCCCCCCCACCCTCCGCGGAGTCGGCGGCCGGGGGCGCGCAGGGAGCAGGGAGCTCGCAGCCGCCGACGGCCGCCCTTTCCGTGCGCCAGCGACAGGATTATTTTCGAAATACTCCGTGCTCTGTTGCTGAGCGTGTTTAATAATAAACAGGATGTCGCTGCTCAGGGCCTGCCAGATGGGTTTTTTTTCCCCCTCCCTTCCTTTTTCTTTTTCCCCCCTTTCTCCTGAGTGAGAAGCAGCACTGTTGAAATCGTGGGCCTCTCGAGTGCCTTTGCCCACACAGCACTGGAAGGCGGTTTTCTCTTTTCTCCCTCTCTTTCCAAATACGTGGGAGGCCCGAGCCCACCTTTAGGCCAGAGGAAGAGGCGTTTTTTCAAGGGAAGGGGTGGCTCGGAGGAAGTGGGGGGAAGGGGGGTCTGGAGAGGCTCCCCCGGCTGTGTCATTTGCTAAATGGCTGCCAGGGAGAAACCTTTAGAAGCTTTTGGGTTACAGGATTGTTAAATTGGCCCTGAGATGTATCTTTCTTTTTTCCGCTAAAGATTTTCTGTGCATTTTATGTGGCTGTATACGTTTATCCAGTTTGGTTTTTGTAACCAGCCGTTTGAAGTCATAGCATGCTTTCTCCACATCTCACTGAGCCACTTAGCTGTGTCTGTGTGCAGTGGTGTGGTGTGAGGAGGGCCTGGGGAGGCCCAGGCTTTGGGGTGCAAATCCTGCTTCTGCCAGAGAAATCTAGGGTTCCGAGAGCCTTCGTTGGCATACATCTTGCATCCCCCACCTTGTAGAGTTAGGGAGCTGGTGAAAGACCTGGAAGGGCCTGGCCCGCAGATTCACGGTTAATAATTGTTTCTTGTTTCTGTAACTGCCATCAAGCCCTAGGATGGAATTTAGCCGCTGTGATGCCCTCCCGTTGGGCTGACCTGATCGAGCTGGTGCACATGCTACAGGTGCTGGGTCAAGGCGTGGACGGGAGAAGGAAGGCGCGGAACATCTCTGAGCACTTGGCGTATTCAGTGCTAGGCCTCTATGGGGAGATGAGGATGGGAGGGAGTAGCGTTTGGAGCCCCCAAGAACTAACTGGCAGAGTTGGCTTCTGTGGTCCTCAATCTGTGTCCTCGGGTCTGGGCGGCTTGTCCCCTTCCAAGGCACATTGCTTGGTTTAAGGGAGACTTAGCCCAGTGAGAGGTACTGAGAACAAGCAGAGCCTGGGGACTTGTACCTTTTGAGGATGACTGCTTTCCTTTGGGAATGGCAGATGATCACTCGGGGAGATTGTGCCTGCCCGGGCAAGTGTGTCTCTTGGAGCCTGCATTTTGGTCTTCATTGGCTTACCCTCCGCAAGCCTCTGCATTTTGGTCTTCATTGGCTTACCCTCCGCAAGCCTCTGAGCCGCACGCAGCTCCTGCATCTGTAAAATGGGAATAATTACGCCTCCTTGCCTGGGGTACCTGTTGGGGCCCTTGTGAGTATCCGTATAGCAAGCCTCTCTTCCCTCCACGGGAGTGTGATGAGAACATATATTGTTTGTTGGTTTCCCGGTTTTCCCTTCTCGCAGTTCCTGAGCTTTTTCTCCTGTTCTGGCTGATGGCACTGTGATTTCCCTACCCCAGATTCTATCCTGAGCTAATATTTTTGTATGGTGACCACTACTCAGTGCCTGGAAGTAAGAGAATGGCCTGGAACAGCCAGGCTGCCCGGGGTGTTGATTACAGACTGTCGGAGGATCGAGGCAAATTCAGGGGAGACTGACCCTGGTCTTGGTCATGGGCGGGGGCGAGACCCAGGTTATGTCTGGGTCGCACCTGTAGCGTGTTTGTAAACGGCCCTGGAGACGCTGTGCTTTACGGTGGTTCTGCAGGCTCCTGGGTGGTTGTTTTGGTACCTTCTGGCATTCCCCCAACCATCTTGGTTTTGTTGTGTTCTGTCTTTAAACCTCCTGGGAACCTCCTCCAGGCCCACTGGCTGCGGAGCTGAGACATCTTAGTGGGGCCGGGTCTTTAGTTTTACCAGCTTCCCGCCTCTCTGCCTGTTGTTTTCTATCCGATTTCATTCTGGCCAGGTCTGGCCCTGCACTGTCCTTAGGGAAGGAGAGGAATCCGCTGCCCTCCCCCTTAAGCTTTTGGATTACCTGTCAGTTTCACTTATCTGAGGCTTTATGGCAGGGCCATGTTTCCGCCCGCTCGGGGGCCTGTCTGCAACGGCCAGGGTCCTTTTCCAGTCTCCTTCAAGCCCACATGGGTAAAGAGCCTGGGGAAGGGAGGGCCAGAAAACCCTGGGAGAGTAGAATTTCAGGAATGGCAAGTTTTATTAATGCCGGGTCACCATCCCCCCACCCCCTTGTAAATTTCAGTTCTCTTTTCTCCTGAAGGATTATTTTATTGTACTTGAAAGATTTTTTTTTGGCTTGCACAAAAGTACTGACTCATGTTGCTAATGGCCGTGTGCTGGTTAGATGTCTCATTATTCTACCATTTAAGATTGATCATTTCTTTGTTGGTTTCTGTTTCACACTAGAATGGGCCAGGTAGGCCAGGGCACGTATTTCTAAATTTGATAAGGAGGCTTCTCTACTGTCAAGCTCTCGGGTCTTGTTACGGGCAAGCGGATATTAAGTAGGGCCCATCTACACTAGATTTTAAAGCAGTGCGCTTCCCTTGGAAAAAAAAAAATCTCCGGCAGAGATCTGTTGAGCTTTGTGCTCTGAATCTCATGGTTCGGTCAAGGGTAACCAGACTGCTTCTCAAGTCCTACCTCACATTTCTTTCTTAAGAAAGTCCTGTTTTTTTCCTGGGCCTTGTTTGGGACTCAGGAACCTTCGGTCTGTCATTTGGACAGAGAAATAATTACGCATTGGTTTTGGTGCTCTGAAGAGACCGAGGGATGAGAAAGACGGTGAGCTTTCTGGTGAACAGAAATTGTGTATGACAAGCTTTTTGGCTCAAAAGGTCCCATTTGGACCAGGCCTCCCCACCCGGGAGCTCCGAGACCCCTGCTCTGTTGTCGGAGCCATGTCACTGATCGTGTCTGTGGCTGGCATGTGGGAAGGCGCCGCCGCACCAGGAGACAGACTTGCCTTGGTGACTCGAGCCAGAAGGTCTAGGTGGAGTGTTGTTGTTAGCTGTACTTGTTGATTTTTTTTTTTCCCCCTTCCCCTGTGTGGCCTGAGCTGAGGGCTGGGTTGCTTCTGCAAAATGCTGTCAGCGGTGTGGGCGGGCGTGTAGAGCTCTGCCCGAAGCAGGGTCCTGCTGCGGGCAGAGTGAGGTCTGTCTCAGGTTGCTGGCGGCCCTTCTCCGCGTTCTCTCTGAGACCACTTTCTTCTGCTCCCACCTCTGCAGCTGGGGCTCTGGATCCTTTCTCCCTCCTCCCCAAGAGAACCCTCAGCCTCTTTCCTTCCTTTCCGTGGTATTGTGAAAGCAGTATGTATGCCTTTAAAAGTCACGGTCATGCAGCAGATACAACTTGAGCGTGTACTCTTTGCCAGGCATCGTGCGAGGCCCTTGAAGTACATTTTTTCCCAATTCATAAAAATACCATTTTTACGGAAAAAAAAAAGGAAAAGAGTAAAGATTAAAAGATAGAGATCACCTATAAGCTCACCATATGGAGAGAACTACAGAAGAGGCTGGTGTATTTCTTTCCTTGGCTTATGTATATGTTTTTTCAAAGTTAGAAAAATACTGTATACACAGGTCACAGTTTATAGGCCTTTTTTTAAGTGTTTTATTTATTTTTGAAAGAGCACAAGTGGGGGAGGGGCTGAGAGGGGGACAGAGGCTCTGCTCTGAGAGCAGTGAGCCCAGCGTGGGGTTTGAACTCATGAACCAGAAGATCATAACCGGAAGATCATGACCAGAGCCGAAGTCAGATGCCCAACCGACTGAGCCACCCAGGCGCCCCCACGGTTTGTAGTTCTTAATGTTAGAGCGTATTTTCTTAAGGTATTGGAAACATTTTTATTCTATTTTGTTTTATTTCGTTTTTTAGTTTTCTAAAGTTTATTTATTTTGAAAGAGAGCGAGTGTGCGCACAGTAGGGGAGGAACAGGGAAAGAGGGAGAGACTCTCAAGCAGTCTCCACACTGTCAGCACAGAGCCTGATGTGGGGCTCTCACAGACCGTGAGATCATGACCTGAGCGGAAATCAAGAGTGAGACGCTTAACTGACTGAGCCACCCAGGCGCCTCTGCTTTATTTTTTTGAGTAAGCTCTACGCCCGACATGGGGCTTGAACTCACAACCCTGAGATCAAGAGTCGCGCGCTTCACTGACTAAGCCAACTGGGCCCCTAGAAAATGTATGAGTAATTGTGTAGTTGCGTAATTGCTTTGTATAGGGTTTGCCATGATTTATTTAACTCTCTATCATTAGACATTTAAGTGGTGGTTACCCATTTTTCCTTCATGTACACACAATTTTAGGGTACATCCTTGCATGTAAACCTTGGGGTACGCTG